CAGGCCACAAACCTCCTCCGGTCAAATCAGTGCCCATGGTAGCTAACCCAAGCAATGCAACAGTCGATAAAAAAACAACCCTTTTTCGAAGAAAAAAAAACCCTTTTCGAAAAAATGAAGTTCAAAAATACAAAGGTCTATGTAGATGGCATCAAAAAATTATCAAAAAATCACCATAAATACCAACTTTAAAAAAGAGCAACCTATGTGATCCCGTTGCCAAAAAATGCTAACATTAACATGACGGCATACTCCGGAATGATGACATCAGTGCCAACTGTAGATGTTCAAGTTCTTCTGATTCTCCTACTACTAAATATTTGTTTTTCTTAGATTATTTGACTTGATACCAAATTGAAATAATAAAAGCAATATTAGGGTTTGTAAGAGATAAGAAGAATGATAGAGGTAAGAGAAAGCGAGAATAATCTATGTATATTATTCATGTTGCCCTACACTNAAAACCAACAAACACCACACAATAATTTACAACCAACAATAAGGTTAATCAGAAGCAGGTCAATAAGAAAGGTCAACCGACAATAGAGGAACCAACACCAACACAGGTGGATGACTGGTCTGTTCCAAAAACAAAAAAGAACAAGGTTGGGCACAACATACAACTAAAGCAGGATCTGGTTCACACACAAGGCCTCAAAGATCATCCAAAAGGCCAACAAAAATAATAGAGACAAGACCCCCGAGAGTTCCTAGTTCAAATCCAAGCGACAAGCAAGCAGAGAAGGGCTATAAAGACCAAACCATACCTGTCAGCACCTATTTTTCACCAAATAAAACATCTTAAATTAGCCACAAAAAAAGGTTGGGCAGGCCACAAACCTCCTCCGGTCAAATCAGTGCCCATGGTAGCTAACCCAAGCAATGCAACAGTCGATAAAAAAACAACCCTTTTTCGAAGAAAAAAAAACCCTTTTCGAAAAAATGAAGTTCAAAAATACAAAGGTCTATGTAGATGGCATCAAAAAATTATCAAAAAATCACCATAAATACCAACTTTAAAAAAGAGCAACCTATGTGATCCCGTTGCCAAAAAATGCTAACATTAACATGACGGCATACTCCGGAATGATGACATCAGTGCCAACTGTAGATGTTCAAGTTCTTCTGATTCTCCTACTACTAAATATTTGTTTTTCTTAGATTATTTGACTTGATACCAAATTGAAATAATAAAAGCAATATTAGGGTTTGTAAGAGATAAGAAGAATGATAGAGGTAAGAGAAAGCGAGAATAATCTATGTATATTATTCATGTTGCCCTACACTCTATTATTTATATTGACACTATCTCAGGTAATTACAATCTTTACCCTACATAAAAATAAGAACTCTAACATACAATATCTTAAGTTTTTTTCAAAATCAACCTTAAAAAAAATTCCCTCTTTCTTCTTTTCCTTATACTCCTCAACAATCCCTTTAGCATCAAGTACCACATCCAACATTTACCTCCCCCAAATAGATGCTCATTGAAAAAAAATGGTTTCGTTCAAAACCTCATGAAATCTCCTCGAAAGTACTCTAGTCAAAACTTTGTATAAACTACTCACTAAGCTAATGGGCCAAAAATCCTTATCCTCGAAGACCTTTCTTTCAACAAAAATTTTCATTGAATCCCCCTTTGTTATCTTCCAACACATTTGGAAAGCTGTCATAGTAAACCCATCTAGACCGGTGATTTATCTCCACTTAACTCAAAGACCGCATCTTTAATCTCTTCCTCTCCAAAAAGTCTCTCCAGCCAAATAGGAATTACTCTCTCCAATGGGATGCCAATCGCGGCCCTCTATGATTGGCCTTTGAGAACCTTATGGAGAATACAACTTAGAGGAAAAAGCCACAATCTCGATAGTTATTAAATTGTCATCCTAAATTACCTCCCCCGACTTTGATTCAATTCTAGTAATCAATTTCTTTTTCAATTTTTTATTTGCTATTCTACAAAACAACTTAGAATTCCCATCACCCTCCTTCACCCACTTAATTTTTGCTTTTTGTCTCTAACTAGTTTCCTCCAACAACACATTTCAAACTTATTTCGAAGACTACACCTTTCTTTCCTTAAACTATCTTCAATGTGACTGAAGATTCTAACAAGTCACCATACACGCTTTTATTCCATTCTTTCAATTTTTGCTTCATCAATTTCAGTTTCAGCATAAATTTGAATCCTTCCCAATCCTCCACCACAACCTCACCCCATCAGTCTTCAAAATTGGTTGCAAAAGAGTGATGTTAAAACCCACATATTCTCATACCTGAAAGCCGTTGGACCCCATTTTACAATTGAAGTATCAAGGGGCAGTGGATAATGATAAGATATAGCTCTAACCAAAACCTCTTCTCTCACTAAAGGGAAGAGCTCCTCCCACCCTGTTGAAAAAAAAGAAATCATGTCTGCTGCAAACCAAAATTTCTAGAAAATTAAACCATGTAAAAGTAGCATTCAACACGGGAGGATTAATTAAGTTGCATTCCTGAATAAAACCATCAAACTTTCTCATACTAGTAGTAGTCCTACTCTCATTCATCCTTTCCAAGACAAATCTAACAACATTGAAATCCCACACCACCCCAAAGAATCCACTAAGAACCACGCAAGCCCAAGATGTCAAAAAGCTCTTCCCACAAAAACTCTCATTCTGGGTTTGTTCGGCCCATACACAACTATTAACCTCCAATCAACATCTTCCACACCTTTAAAATTAACACACTGAAAAGCTTCCCCGAACAACTTACACACCTTTCAAAACTCTTTCATCCCACAGAATTAACACTCCCCCTAACCTACCACATGATGGTAAGAAAGCCCATTCCCTATTCTGCAAACCCTATAAACCTTTTATAATTACTCTGTCAATGACTGCTTTCTTTGTTTCCTAAAGAATTACAACATCTGGCCTAACTCGTCTCAACATCTCTCTTATTACCCTCCTCTTCTCACTCTTTTTCAATCCCCTAATATTCCAACTTACTATCTTCATTCGCAACCATTGTCCAACTCTTCCTCCTTGAATTAATTCTATCATAACCTTCTCCCCCTATGCCTCCCTCTACCTCTACCTTGATTTGATACCAAGGAGAGACCTACCTTTCGCAGTAACTACGTTAAGTGTTTCCAACTCTCTTCATCCTAAGCAAAATTCTCATCTCACATAGTATCAAACATTAAAATTCTTTTCGAAACAATCAAAACATTTTCGTTTTCAAGGAGACTGAAACAAAACATTGATAGAATCAAAATTCTAATATTTCATGGTGTTTCGAGATGTTTCATAATATTTCGACGCATTTACAATTATTTCAGAATGTTTCAAAGTGTTTCAAAATGCTTTGGCATATTTCTATATTCAAAACAAGTCAAGACATTTCCCAAATGGGTCAAAATGTTTTCATTTCCAAGGAAATCGAAACAATGCATTAAAACAAAATTTTGATCCTTGTATAATATCCCCACCCAAATTTGGATGGTCTTGCATTTGATCAACCCTCTTAGCATTGAAACCTCCAAACTCATCCCTGGTATAGTCCTGCCCATTAAAATGAATACTATCAACATCCAAATTATTAGCAAACATAGGATTAGGTAGCTCAATGGGTAGATGTCATTGTATTGCGGAAAATTTATTTTCAAACTGCCTGGGAGTCCTGAACACATGAAGAACATAAAAGGGGAAAAAAATAAGATGAAGGATTCCAAAGTTGAAACAAAGACTCGGAATTGACATCCCCGCCCCCACCCCTCACTCAACCCAATGTGGAAATTCCTTTTCAATCTTAAAAGGCACTCATTATAGGTATAAGTCTTTGCTTAAAAAAATTGCAGAAAAGGACTCGCCTATACAACCTGTCAAATAGAATTAAAACCTCCCATCTGCTCCAGCTCCGTAATGGAATTCACATAAAACTCAAACGCACTTTTCCTAAGTTCTATCTTCTCAAATAGAATATTTTCCTCAAAATCATTGTCAAACAAACCACCTATATCCATTACAGAATCAGCAACAACTGAATCGTCTTCGGAATACACGAATATTTGAAGAAGAATCATCACCTTCATAAGAGGACTTTGTCATACCTTTCAGCTCTNCGAGATGTTTCATAATATTTCGACGCATTTACAATTATTTCAGAATGTTTCAAAGTGTTTCNCATAATGTTTCGAGGTGTTTCATAATATTTCGACGCATTTACAATTATTTCAGAATGTTTCAAAGTGTTTCAAAATGCTTTGGCATATTTCTATATTCAAAACAAGTCAAGACATTTCCCAAATGGGTCAAAATGTTTTCATTTCCAAGGAAATCGAAACAATGCATTAAAACAAAATTTTGATCCTTGTATAATATCCCCACCCAAATTTGGATGGTCTTGCATTTGATCAACCCTCTTAGCATTGAAACCTCCAAACTCATCCCTGGTATAGTCCTGCCCATTAAAATGAATACTATCAACATCCAAATTATTAGCAAACATAGGATTAGGTAGCTCAATGGGTAGATGTCATTGTATTGCGGAAAATTTATTTTCAAACTGCCTGGGAGTCCTGAACACATGAAGAACATAAAAGGGGAAAAAAATAAGATGAAGGATTCCAAAGTTGAAACAAAGACTCGGAATTGACATCCCCGCCCCCACCCCTCACTCAACCCAATGTGGAAATTCCTTTTCAATCTTAAAAGGCACTCATTATAGGTATAAGTCTTTGCTTAAAAAAATTGCAGAAAAGGACTCGCCTATACAACCTGTCAAATAGAATTAAAACCTCCCATCTGCTCCAGCTCCGTAATGGAATTCACATAAAACTCAAACGCACTTTTCCTAAGTTCTATCTTCTCAAATAGAATATTTTCCTCAAAATCATTGTCAAACAAACCACCTATATCCATTACAGAATCAGCAACAACTGAATCGTCTTCGGAATACAGGAATATTTGAAGAAGAATCATCACCTTCATAAGAGGACTTTGTCATACCTTTCAGCTCTTCTCTAGCTCTAAGAGCATAAAAAAACCATTCTCAAACTCATTTTTAGCCCCAAAATGAATATGCTCAATGTCGTGTGATTCCCCTTGAAAGTCGATCATCCTCATGTTTGAATTTTTAGCTTGCTTGGAACTCCTATTATCCCTCTCGTGGAACACCAAATTGGATTCCAAATACATCGGATCTGCCTCTCCATCAGCTTGAAGAATAAGAGTCATTGGCCGCTCCATCATCTGGAAAAGGAAGTCATCATCATGTGCCCGACAAATCTGAAGACTCGTCGATTGTTTTAAACCCAACCTACCCAAATCCTTAAAGTTATCCGACCAATGTAACTAACCCTTTATGTTGAAATTTGGCCCAGTACTAATTTTAGTTAGAGAAAATCGGAAGAAGGTACACTAAATTGGAGTTAATTGTAAAAAGTAAACAGAATAAAATGTAGGATAAAAAAATCATTAATTTTCATATTTATTTGTTTTCAAGTACATTATTTAAAATTTTCATATTTTCTCTGACCTTTATATCCTTCCTTGATCCATGTGCATTTTTTTTAGAAAGTGGTACATTAAATATCTCCTATTTTTATGGAAAAACTTTAATNTTCCTTGATCCATGTGCATTTTTTTTTAGAAAGTGGTACATTAAATATCTCCTATTTTTATGGAAAAACTTTAATATTCCGTATTTTTATGTCCTCCCTTGATTCATGCGTATTTTTTTTTTTTAAAAGTGATTTTGTTTTCAAATTATATTAATATCCAAACTTCGTAACAGTGTAATAATAACAGTATCACAATAATAGTGTAACAAACTATTTACATAAAATATTATACTATTACATTTTGTTAAACATATATTTTCATATAATTTCATTCAAAACAGTCCATTTCTATTTTGAATTTGTTACCACATGCACAAAACTACTAAACATTGTTTTTGTTACAGTGTATTGTTACACTGTCTTTGTTACAATGTATTATTACACTATTGCTTAATCTATTTGTTACGTTTTTGTTACAGTGTAAATAATTTTATATTTCAAATTATATAAAAAAATAATTAACAAATTTTAAAATTCAAAAAAAGTAATATATCCTAAAATAAACGGAATATTAAAGTTCTCCCATAAAACTAGGAGATATTTAATGCATAAATATAATTTGAAACAAAACCACTTTCCAAAAAAAATATGAATGAATTAAGGTGCATTAGAGATTTCGAATTAAATGACCATAAATTTCAACGCTTATGATAATTGTCTTGTTACAGTTTTTAGGAAAGAAAATTTTACAAAATGAGCATTTACGTTTTTGTATCTCAGTTGTGTACTTTTTTCTAAAACATTTTGTTCTGTATACTTTTTTATAATTGTCTAATTAGGTGTACCGGCTTCCAAATGACTCTTTTAGTAACTAGCCCAATACTTGTGGGCTGTGTGTTTTTCACACTTTGAATCCATGTGTTGCCAATTATTCTTATGATGTTCCAGCATAGGCCCATTATCATAAAGGCCCATGGCTCTTTATTTACCTCCACATTCTGCAATAAACTGCAATTATTACCATTATTATCTCCATTAATCCGGTTTTTGAAATTTGAATATCCCTTAATATTTTCCCGATCTTAATTAGCAGGTGCATTAAATACATAACCTCCCTGCTTATCCTCCGGCCCAATTAAGGGAACTAAATCCCTATTCATCAGCCCATCTTCATTAAAACCACCAAGTGATACATTCAAACCTTGTACACCATCCCTTGCCTCTCTGCCACGTGCTGTATTTTCCCTTAGGCTGGTCATCTTCAACCTCTCGCCAGTGGTATGTAACTTCAGTACTACCTCGCCATTTTTGAACATCACAACCCATCAGAATCTCAATTTCCAGTCTACGATTCACCCTAATTCTTATTTTATAGACAAGTCTTTGCAATTCCACATCAAAATCTGAATGAATTAGACCCGACTTATTCCCATTCACTTTGATTTGAGCCTGGAACAGATTGGATAAATTTTTTGTCTCTATCAATATCCACAAGACCTCCACAGCAGTCTTCTATCCTCCAAAACACTTCTTCCTTTCATAAATAAAAGTTGGGTTGGGGTATAGAGCGTGAGAACGTGTTCGTACGGTTCATATTTTGATATGAAAAAGGCGTTGATTGTTGGGAACTTTCACAACTCTCTAGTCAAAATGTCTCTCTAGGAGCATTACGATGAGAGTTAAGCGACATGAGCNATGCTGAGAGCAAATAGCTCTAAGGGAGTACGTCTACACTTTTAGATACCCAGCTCTACCTTATCACAAATTGAAGGCATAGAGATCATCAAATGACGGTTTGAAATTGCAAAATAAGTTTCTCAGTTNTCGAGCCTGGAACAGATTGGATAAATTTTTTGTCTCTATCAATATCCACAAGACCTCCACACCAGTCTTCTATCCTCCAAAACACTTCTTCCTTTCATAAATAAAAGTTGGGTTGGGGTATAGAGCGTGAGAACGTGTTCGTACAGTTCATATTTTGATATGAAAAAGGCGTTGATTGTTGGGAACTTTCACAAATCTCTAGTCAAAATGTCTCTCTAGGAGCATTACGATGAGAGTTAAGCGACATGAGCTAATCTAAACAGAAAATCAATCCGCTTGATAAGGAGACCTTCAATTCCTACCATCCACCCGAGAAGGAAACCATATTATTTACAGAATTAATTTCAGNGCTAACCTACACAGAAAATCAATCCGCTTGATAAGGAGACCTTCAATTCCTACCATCCACCCGAGAAGGAAACCATATTATTTACAGAATTAATTTCAGGGATCCAATTCTGCATTCTAAAATAATGGCATCTCGCCCACTCTACAGAACTCAATTTTACCTATGTCATCAACCATCTCTAAATTTTCGCAATAGAACAGAGCTTTATTTGATTGGAATGGCATCAAAATAATGTTCCACTTCCATTGTTCTGCCAAAGCAATTTGAATCTATTTCCATGTAACATAAATGCTTTCTCTTGTACACACCGCTGCCAATTTCAATTTTCTCTTATCATTAGGTACAACAGCTAACTCATAAGTATCATAATTTTTTTGAATGATTTGCATTAGCATTCACCAAAGCATTTTTGAATGAAACATGTGCTGCTCTGTTTTCCACCTTAGTCTTCTCTCTTTTCAAATTCTCTCCCTGTAAACTTCCATTACTAATATCAGTAAACACCTGTGCCATTGTAGTCCACCCTACTCCATTTAATCCTTCAGGAACAGTGATAATTTTCTGCCTTCCAGAATTTTCAATCCTTGTGACTGAAAGAAATTTCCCATTCGTATTATAAAGTATCTTCATAGTAAGAAATAAGAACCTGCTCTGAACTTTCTGAAGAAGACACCATAGTTATTGCAAAGAACAGCCTGACAAAAGGTTTTACTCAACCAATCTATAACTCCCCAATCAACAACAACAGAAAAGCTAGCAACCCGACTCCTTTCCCTGATTTTGATGTCAAAATCCCTCGCTGTTGCCTCTTCAATGATAAAAACTTCCTTTCCCCCTTAAACTCGTGATAAAACCCTCTACGATATGTGTTCCTCATGGTTGGAATCATACTAGTGGTGCAGGAATCTCTCATGTCTTAAGAGAAAGCAATTTTCAAAACTTAAAACATAGTTTCTGTTGTCATCAAAAGGACATGGAAGTGAAATGCATTATTCTTGGAAAGGAACCAAAACTCATTAAAAGAAACATGGATGTGAATAGGTGCCTGCAAACATGTAAGCAAAAACACTTATTCTCCATCACGTCTTGATCTTATCTGTCCTGCTCCTTCTAATATAAACAGTACGCTGAGAGCAAATAGCTCTAAAGGGAGTACGTCTACACTTTTAGATACCCAGCTCTACCTTATCACAGATGGAAGGCATAGAGATCATCAAATGACGGTTTGAAATTGCAAAATAAGTTTCTCAGTTTCCTATTTTTATTTAAACTAGTTTGTGTAGCATAAAAATCAAAATTATGTTTCGGTTAGCCCGAAAATATGATGGAAATAGAGAAAAGATCTGTAAATTTGTTTCTACTATCCTAAACACACCAAAACACATCAAAACACATCAAAACATTCCAAAATAACTCGAAACCTAAGAATTTCGATAGTCAATCATCGACTCATTTCGGTTTCCATGAAAAAAAAAATGTTTCTGTCATTTGGTAGAAACAAAGGGAATTTNTATCCTAAACACACCAAAACACACCAAAACACATCAAAACATTCCAAAATAACTCGAAACCTAAGAATTTCGNTGTCCTAAACACACCAAAACACATCAAAACATTCCAAAATAACTCGAAACCTAAGAATTTCGATAGTCAATCATCGACTCATTTCGGTTTCCATGAAAAAAAAAATGTTTCTGTCATTTGGTAGAAACAAAGGGAATTTTAGCTCCTTGGTGTAGTGGCATATTTTCTAAATTGAATATACATGCAGCTACTCTATATCGGCTCTGCATGGATTCTGAGAAAAAGAAAGTGATCTGTGCTTTTGGGCAGTGGAAATGTAGATATTTGATAAGGTACAACCAACTATCAAGGCCCAAATCCTGGATTCATTAAGAATAAAGTCCTCTGGAGCATAATTTTAAAACCCGGCCCGGACATCAACCCGGCAAAGAGACCGGGTCAATGGGTCACTAGTTCAACCGTTGGGTCACAGGTCGAACCGGTAAATATAATAAAAAATAAAAAATAATTATAAATACTAATAAATAAGCTAAAAAATCACAAAAATTATGAAAATAGCATCAAACATATAAAGTTAAAATCATCAAACATGTATTCAATACATTCAATTTCCAATACAACTTATAAATTCAGTAGAGAAAAATACATCTATTTCAGTTCAAGGCTCCAATTCTAACTCCAATTCTCCTACTATGCATCAATCTAAGTATAATTCATGTAATTTGCACTCTTCAAAGTTCAAAGTCAATCACTGTATNACTCTGAGAGCAAATAGCTCTAAAGGGAGTACGTCTACACTTTTAGATACCCAGCTCTACCTTATCACAGATGGAAGGCATAGAGATCATCAAATGACGGTTTGAAATTGCAAAATAAGTTTCTCAGTTTCCTATTTTTATTTAAACTAGTTTGTGTAGCATAAAAATCAAAATTATGTTTCGGTTAGCCCGAAAATATGATGGAAATAGAGAAAAGATCTGTAAATTTGTTTCTACTATCCTAAACACACCAAAACACACCAAAACACATCAAAACATTCCAAAATAACTCGAAACCTAAGAATTTCGATAGTCAATCATCGACTCATTTCGGTTTCCATGAAAAAAAAAATGTTTCTGTCATTTGGTAGAAACAAAGGGAATTTTAGCTCCTTGGTGTAGTGGCATATTTTCTAAATTGAATATACATGCAGCTACTCTATATCGGCTCTGCATGGATTCTGAGAAAAAGAAAGTGATCTGTGCTTTTGGGCAGTGGAAATGTAGATATTTGATAAGGTACAACCAACTATCAAGGCCCAAATCCTGGATTCATTAAGAATAAAGTCCTCTGGAGCATAGTTTTAAAACCCGGCCCGGACATCAACCCGGCAAAGAGACCGGGTCAATGGGTCACTAGTTCAACCGTTGGGTCACAGGTCGAACCGGTAAATATAATAAAAAATAAAAAATAATTATAAATACTAATAAATAAGCTAAAAAATCACAAAAATTATGAAAATAGCATCAAACATATAAAGTTAAAATCATCAAACATGTATTCAATACATTCAATTTCCAATACAACTTATAAATTCAGTAGAGAAAAATACATCTATTTCAGTTCAAGGCTCCAATTCTAACTCCAATTCTCCTACTATGCATCAATCTAAGTATAATTCATGTAATTTGCACTCTTCAAAGTTCAAAGTCAATCACTGTATAAAAAATTAAAACTCCATTCAATGTCCAAAATATAGCATTATTAATCAAAGATTCAATGTATATTTCAATATTCTACACAAAATATAAACCAAAAGCAGAGGCTAAGAATCAAGCACAAAAGCAAAGTGGTTGCACATACCGTGCTCATGGAAGAATCAACCCTAACATGTCATCTCTCTGCCACATCAAATTGATTTTATCCGAAAAGGAAGAAGCTGTCCCGAAAGAGCTTGATACTCAGTTGGCTAAGAATCAAGCTCTACGCTGTGGAGCTTCTTCTTGAATCAAAGTGGTTGCTTGATTTCTGAAAGCGAAGAATTACATCTTATTTGTTTTCAGTTTTCATCAAAACATTTTTGTAATGCCATCGAAAAGGATTGTTATATATATATATATATATAGATAGAGATATATATATATATACTTCTTGAATCAAAGTGGCTGGTAGTCGTCGATGCTCAATGGAGCTCTGATCGATCGAGTCACTTTGGCTTTTCTTCCACTTCGATCAAGATTGAGATTTCGAGAATGAGTAAAAGACTCCAGGAGGCAGAGGCACAAAGGACTCCAGAGGCAGAGCCGAAGACAAAGAGGCAGTCGTTGGCAGAGACGAAGAGGCAAAGGCAAGCGATTTAGGGCAAAATGCAAAAAAGGGCAAAAACTCATATTTATAGTAAATTAAATGAACCGCCCGATTTGGTTTAACTTGCTCGGGTTGAACAGTTCAGCGGTTTTTTATCTGGTTCAGTGGGTTTATTCCGAGTTTGATGCACAAATGGTCTGATTGTTGACCGGCCCGATTTAGGCACCGGTTCACTGGGTCAACCCGCCAGGCCCGGCTGGGTTTTAAAACACTGCTCTGGAGAAGGTGTAGATCTTAACAAATAAAAGTTAGTATGGGCAATCCACCTTTACGCTTGCAGTTTTGATTCAAAATATAAACGCTTCAACCAATTACAAGACCCACTACTTTGGCCAATGTTTTCATCTTCAGAAATACATCACATACTAGCAATTATGTAAGAGTTGCAATTTTCAGCATAAGTATGAGCAACGCTATTTGAAAAGTACGAAACAACTTCATTTGATTTCATTTCCATTGCAGTGGATTGTTGAACTAGTGGGGACAGTCCCTCCCCAACACGTAAAACTAAAGAACTCAACTTAGTCTAAGCTACGCAAGCTGCTAGTCTATCCATAACCTACCAAATCTCATGATGGTTAATAAGAGTTCATTANAATCCCTCCCCAACACGTAAAACTAAAGAACTCAACTTAGTCTAAGCTACGCAGGCTGCTAGTCTATCCATAACCTACCAAATCTCATGATGGTTAATAAGAGTTCATTAAAAGTGGAAATATTGTAGAAAACTATTCATACCAGTCCCCCAAGGTATGGAATTCCAGCTAGCTCAAGCTCCTTCAAGATGCCATCCTCACCAATCACATAAACCTCAATAAAAAAACAAAGCTTGTATATCAATTATGTCCCAGCATGAGAACTATTTTGGACAATTGGCAAAACAATCATTTACAACCAACTAAATCAGAATCAATTTGCAATCATAGAGATGTTTGCAATGGGTGGATATATGCAGAACATCACCTGTAAATAGTATCAGGCTACAAAAGCCATCATAAATCAAGAAAGTGTACGGGTAACAAAACGAAATTGTAAGGAAAGCATGAGAGTGATTTTTAGGCATCACATGAAGGAAAAAAGTACCTCAAATTGCTATAGCAGATGATCAAAGAGAATAAAAAAGAAACATAAGCAGCTAAAAGAATGTAAAACCAATCATATATATCTATGGTTTTGCAACTTTCAGTACTGACCAAGAGAAACAAAAACTCATGCACCTTTCAGAAAATTCAAAGCAAGCAAGTGCCAAAAACTCAACAATCACAGAAATTGCTGGCATTACTAAATGCATTTGAACAATAAATCAAATACACGTTCAACTTGTCCTTTTTAGTAGTTCTAACGGGCAAGATTGTCCAAGGAGGTCAAAAAGAATATGCTACATTGTTCTTTGGCAAGTACCCTTTCAGGAACACTCCATCTCCAACTTAGAAGAAATTAAATCAAAATTGCACTTCAGAAAGCAGTTGAATAAAAGGAAGATGATGTGATATCGTTTAGCTAGAAAGCAAGAATGACCATCCCAAAGGGGCCTTTATGTTACTCATATAAATCAAATTTTCAATCTATTCACAATATTCACCCAGGAAATACAAATTTAGGCTGCATACCTTTTTATCTTTAGGGAAATTGATTGACTTTAAATAAGCAGCTGCAGCAAAAGATGATGCAAAAATTTCCTCCTGAATTGTTCACTTGCAGTTAGAAATATTGATGAACCGCAAAACCCCAGCTTGATAAGTAAAAAGAGTCACAAACTAACCTCGCTAACATTAAGCCCAAGAGTTTCAAACTTTTTCCCATATTGTTTCCTAGACTTTGTTGAGTTGTTAGTGACAAAAACTAATCTCTTCCCCTGAATAAGAAAGTGAGAATTATAATAACCAAGAAAAATGCATTTGTCTTTGCATAAATTGATAACCAACAAAAAAATCATAAAGAGAAAATTAGAGCTTTGGTTGGATGCATGAAAACAAAGTAATGAGGATATTGAAAATTAGAGAAAATATTAGCTCAGCATCACTTTGGTACCTCAATTTCCAAGTTACATCTGATTTCCTAAATTCCAAATTTGTTTTAAAATGGCCCTTTTCTACCTTCCATCCAAATAAAAGTAGTCATGTGGCAGCCATCCTCAAAAACAAGTAACCCTTTTTTTTTATTTTTGGACAGAATTAAGTGAATGAATCATTCAGAAATATATTAGAAATGTCAGAATATCAGAATACAAAATTGAAGGACTAAAATAAGTCTGACTACATACTTCAACAAAGCCACCAAATGTATTTTATTTTACACTGTCAAATACAACAAACCTTTGACCGGAGCATGTCAAGAGTTTCTGGGACTCCATCTATCAGTTTATCCCCTTTCCATATTACCCCTATAAAATATCAAGTAGCAATCACATAAGCATAGTATGAGTGAAACTAAAATCAAAGCAAGCACACAAAACCCACTTGTTATTTCTACATGTATGTGTGGTTGTAAGTGATAAAGATTAAGAGCAAAAAGAAGATACCATCGCAGTCAAAAATAAAGGTCTCAACAGAGTCAATGAGTTCATCAGGGTTCTTGAGGGGCTGTGCCGAGGCACAGTTCACGAATTTTGAAGCAGAGCTCTTCATTCTGGACATATTGCTGTAATTACACTTCCATTTTAAGATTCTCAGAGAATCATGTAATGGGTTTGAGACGAAAGAGATCTTCTTATTGAATTGGCAAAGAAACCTAGAGGAGTTTGCAGAAACCGCAGAGGGTGAAACTGTGACCACTGCTACTCTGCTGAGCATCTCTCTCTCTCTCTCTCCCCTGTAGTGATTGTTGGTTGTATCGAGCCTGTGGTTCGTATGGGAACTGTCGTTTAAATTTTGAGGTGGCGATTGAGTGGACGCACATTGTTTATCTAGAGTAGGGAACGTAGAGTTGGAAGGCCTCTGGAGTTCGTCCATTCTCTACCGTTGGATTACAAATGAGAGGTCCAGAGAAGCCCACATAAGTTTTTAAGGAAACGATACAATTTTTATAGTTTCAGTCATCAAATTACAGATGCATGCTCCTCTCTCCTCCTAATCCTCTCTCCCTGTACATATCCTTTCCCTGATAAAGGTTTGGACTTCCGGAGGGCAGTGACTGATAAAAAGTTGAAGTGCACTGTAATTTTGATATTTTGAAAATAATTTTGAATTTGAATTTGAATTTGAATTTGAATTTAACCTGTTTCTTCATATTTGAAAGTGATTCCAAGACAAAATATAGTCTTAAGAATGAATATGCATTCTTGACTGGTTTTTGAGACCTAATTGTCAAAAACAAAGGGTGGTAGTTTTGTCCTTTTCTTAGTTTTAGTTTCATGTTTTCACATGTATTTGTGTTCATAACTGCATAAGGATTGCAAGTTTTGTCTTAAAGTAAATTATTAATGAAATTAGACATATATTCTTTGAAAGTATTTTAGACTATATTTAATGGAACTCAAACTATTACTTAAATTTGTGTAAAAAAAAGAGTAAAAAATTTAATTTGGTATAGATCTCACCAACAGAAAAAACTAATTTTAAAAGAAGAGAAACCTAAAGTTAAAGGAAGAGAAATCAAATTTAAAAAAGGGTAAAATATAACAATTGGATCTTTAAAGGATAATAAAATTTCACCATTAAAAATTTAGTTCGCCCTTAATTTGGGTTTAAAAATGAATTTCTCTTCATTTGATATGGGTATGAGTTTAACATTGGAGAAACATTTTAAATTATTTTTATTCAAATTTAAATTTAGGTACAAAAAAAATAAGGGATGGAGATGTTCTAATGATTATATTTGAGCTTATATCAAAAGCGACTTTGATAAGAGATATATACCATCGACATCAAATTTCTGCAAGAAAGGTGATGCTTTTATGTTTTTGAAACCCATAGTTAGGTTGAAGAGGACGACTGGATGATTGTCTTTGAAACTCATAACGACTCACAGATGGTGAGTAAGTGTGATGACCTAATTTTTTGTGAATAATGCTAGACGAACTTAAAAATTAAATTTGATAAATCTCAACTATTTAATAGGTAATGAGTCCCAATAAATACTGAGACTCACAGTAAGATCAATGGTTATAATTATCAAGTCTAATTTTTAAATGTACTTTTTAAGTCCATGTAGCATTGTTCATATTTTTTTGTATGAATCATTACACGTGTAATGTTCTAATGAGATAATTAAGACATGAATTGTAGTCACTACAATTGTTATTAAGAACGTGGGTGAGTGCACAAATGACGAGTAATACACGTATAAATCGTGTCCAAATGGGAAGAAAAGTGTGTTTATTTATGAATGAGAGAGAGAGAGAGGGGAAGTAATGAATGTCTGACATAGAAGCTAGTCGTAATAGACTTTATTAAAGAATTTAATCTTCCTATTTTTTACATAGCGAAATTGAATAATTACCTCATGTCGTTGATATTCAAGTTCAAGAATAAGAAATCCAAATTCTCTACAGAGAAAATAATCAACAAACTCAACGACCCCAACAAACTCAAATCCGTATCACAACCTTGATCTCAACACTCAATAATCACCTCACAAATATGTATTGTATGGAGGTATATAAGACAAGAGTTTACTGCCTACATATATGATATCTGAATCCCATATGACTTGATAGAAAATCACAGGCATGAGAACATATATAGGCAGGGACCTTATCCAATAGAAAAAACTGCAAGTAACGTCCTTCCATCAAGGAGTTACAACTACTTTAAACTGCTTCATGATAGTCACTTCATCTGATGATGGGAGTGGTGGGTAGTTACTTTAACGTCAGTTACCCAGAAGGATTTGACTCAATAAATAGTAAATATATATACACATATACATAATATTTATTTATTAAAAAGATGACATGACATGTGGGTCATCTTAAGTCTCTAATTAGAGATAGAGTCCAATATTAATTAGACATAAAGTCCAACAATAGAGTCCAATATTAATTAAACATAAAGTCCAACATTCTCCCACTTGGCACATATGACATGTCAGACAATTTGGGTAACCAATATTTGATACTGAATATGGTCATACAATTAAATAACTACCCGAACTTTATTGAGAAAAATAATGCGCGAATCAAAGCGGTTGTGCTCCTTTAAATGAACACTCCATTCCTTGTATTACAATGCATCATCTTCTCAAAACTTTATGTGGCATCACTCCTTATGAATGACTTCTTACATGTCATTTCGGGTCCTAATGGACTACATACTAATCTCAATGAATAGTATATCACAAACAATATATTATGTGCACAAAATAGCTAAAGTTTGCATTGATCATGATCAAATATTTACAAACCAAGAAGTCAACCATACAATGAGCCAACTAATCCCATGTTCTTTACATGTTTCAAATACGTCTTAATTGAGAGTCATTTAGTCATGGGATCTACTAACATTAGATCTGTACTAATGTGCTCAATAGATACTTCTTGTTCATTGACTCTTTCTCTGATGATGAGATACTTAATGTCAATATGCTTGGTTCGACTTCCACTTTTATTTTTCTTAGAAAAGAAAATAGAAGCCGAATTATCACAGCAAAATCTTAATGGCTTGGATATAGAATCCATAATCTGGAGCCCTATGATAAAACTTCTCAACCATTTCGCCTGTGATGTTGCTTCAAAGCACGCTATAAACTCTGCTTCCATAGTAAACGATGCAACTATCGTCTGTTTGACACTTTTCCATGATATAGCACCTCCTGCTAGCATGAAAACATATCTCCAAATGGATTATTTTGGTACCTTCCAAACATCCCTACCGCAAATGCAATATCAGGTCTTACACAAACCTGTGCATACATCAAACTGCCAACAACAGATACATAGGGAATGCTATTCATTTGTTCTTTTTCCAAAGCATTTTTCGGACACTGGCTCAAAATGAATTTGTCACCTTTTACGATTGGAGCTGCATTAGGTGTGCATTCATTCTTACTAAATTTCTCCAAAACCTTTTCAATGTAGGCTTTATGAGATAAACTCAATTTTCTTTGAGTCCTGTCTCTACGAATCTCTATGCCTATGACATAGGAGGCTTGACCCATATCCTTCATCTCAAAGTTTTGTGAAAGAAATTCTTTAGTTTTATGCAACAAACCCAAATCATTGGCTGCAAATAGAAAGTCATCAAAATATAGGATTAAGAAAATGTATTTGCTCCCACTAACCTTAAGGTATATGCAATTATCCACAACATTCTCCTCAAAACCATATGAGATAATAACATTATGAAACTTAAGATACCACTAACAGGATGCCTGATGGATTTCTTTACCTTGCAAACTAGGTGACTATCCTCATCAGAACAAAATCCTTCAGGCTGCTTCATGTACACTTCTTCATCAAGATCCCCATTTAAAAAATGTTGTTTTCACATCCATTTGATGTAGCTCTTAATCGAAATGAGCTACTAATGCCATGATAATCCTAAACTAGTCCTTTTTAGAAACTGAAGAGAAGGTATTGTGATAGTCAATTCATTCTCTTTGAGTGAAGCCCTTAGCTACAAGTCTTGTCTTATATTGTTCGACATTACCATTTGAGTCTTTCTTGGTCTTATAGATCCACTTACAGCTAATGGCCTTGACTTCCTTAGGTAAATCAACAATTTTCCAAACTTGATTTTTAGCCATGGACTCCATCTCTTCTTTCATGGCCTCGTACCAAAATGTAGAATTCTCTCCACTTATGGCATGTGAAAATGAGATAGGATCTTCCTTATGTCCAACATCAAAGTTAGACTCCAATAGGTACATGAAGTAATCATTAGAAATAGCTGGTTTTTTTGCTCTTGAGGATCTCCTTAATTCTACAGTCTCATCCATATTTTGTGAGTTTGGAGCTGTAAACTCTATGTTGTCTTGTTCCTCTTGTGGTTGTGGTACTTGAATATTATCTAGATTATCCTAAATGATAACCATCTTATTTTTATTCACAGGTATGATATCTGAATTTTATGATTCCTCACACTCAATCTTTCGAGGAATACTCCCACTAATGTCAATACCCTCAATAAATTTTATATTTCTGGCCTCAACAATTCTAGGTGTGTGTGATGGACAGTAAAATTTATAACCTTTAGGCTTTTCTGCATAGCTAATGAAATATCCCCTGATTGTCCTTGGGTCCAATTTCTTTAATTGTGGATTATAAATCTTAACCTCAACTGGACAACTCCATATGTAAAAATGTCCTAAACTGGGTTTCCATCATTTCCATAACTCAAATGGAGTTTTGGAAATGGCTTTAGTGAGAACCTTGTTTAAGATATACACTGCTGTCTTCAAGGCTTTACTCCACAAAAACAAAGGAAGATTGGAGTTGCTTAGCATACTTCTTACCATGTCTAGAAGGGTGCGATTTCGCCTTTCAACCACACCATTTTGGTAAGGTGAGCCTAATATAGTATACTGAGTAACAATACCTTCATCTTTTAAATATTCAGCAAATGGACCTGGCCTTTGTCCCAAATTTGTGTGCCTTCTATAATATTGTCCACCCCTATCTAACCGTACAATTTTAATTTCTTTTTTTAATTGTTTCTCTACTTCCTGTTTGAATGTTTTAAAAGCATCTAATGTCTCAGATTTTTCAAACAGAAGGTAGAGATACATAAATCGTGTATGATCATCAATAAATGATATAAAGTATCTCTGACCATTTAAGTAAGGGATAGGGAATGGTCCACAGATATTCGTGTGTATGATTTTAAGTATTTCTTCACTCCTCTTAGCACCTTTACTGGTCTTATTGGTTTGCTTTCCCTTTATGCAATCCACACAAGTACCAAAATCAGAAAAATCAAGAGTCTTTAAGACTCCATCATTAACCAATCTTTTAATTCTTCCCATAAAGATATGTCCTAATCTCCTGTGCCACGACATAAAGGAATTATCATCAATAATAGTCTTTTTAGTGCCAATATCATCATGCAAGGTTAGGAGACTATGTTCAAAAATAGGATCCAAATTTAATTTGTACAAACCATAAACTAAGGTTCCATAACCAACCAAACTAGA